TCATCTTTCAAGTGCTCTGAATATAAAACAGTCAGTGCATGTCCATATGAACAAAATTATAATGACCCATTCCCAGTATAATAGCAGCAGCTATTATAAACATACAATTTTCTAATCATGCTGGAAACATATAACTGTTACCTCGATAAAACATTTTACCATATGTTAACACAAAAATTATATCAAAATGATAAGAGTAGTGGCCACTTAAAACATAACCCAGACACATTTTTATGCGATGACAAATTAAAGGCAAGGAAATTCCTTCTTCAATATTTCAAGTCATAGAGTGGATATATATATAAATATATTTATATACGTTTGGTGTGGCCGATTGCAACCAAAATACGAGGTGCACATATACATGCTATAGCAGTCCTATATACAAAATTTCAACGTTCTGAGGCTACTCGTTTTTGAGTTATGTGAGATATGTACGTACGCACGAACGTACGTACATACGTTCGTACAGAAGCCACGAAAAATTCTCTTCAGAATTAATTTTAGTTTCAGTTTTTTTAAGCAGTACGTACAGATATGGTGCAAAAACATTGTTAAATTGCATTCAATAGCGGTCAAAATGGATATTTTCGGTGAAAATATGCTGCCTGAAACTTTTCGCGATTACAATACTTCCTTTTTACTTCGTACAAGGAAGTAAAAAGGACATGCCTTCTTAAATATTTCAAGTCATCTAAATATAAAACAGTCAGTATATGTTCATATCAACAAAATTATAATGACCCATTACCAGTATAACAGTGGCAGTTATTATATACATATCATTCGGTAAGCATGCTGAAACATCACTTTTATCAGGAGAAAGCATTTTACCATATGTCAACACCAAACTTATACCCAAATGATAAAAGTAGTGGCCGCACTAAAACACAAACCGAGATACTTTTTTACGCGATGACAAATTAAAAAAAGGACATGCCTTCTTCAATATTTCAAGTCATCTAAATATAAAACAGTCAGTATATGTTCATATCAACAAAATTATAATGACCCATTACCAGTATAACAGTGGCAGTTATTATATACATATCATTTTGTACCCATGCTGAAACATATCACTTTTATCAGGAGAAAGCATTTTACCATATGTCAACACCAAACTTATACCCAAATGATAAAAGTAGTGGCTGCGCTAAAACACAAACCGAGACACCTTTTTACGCAATGACAATTTAAAGGCAAGGAAATGCCTTCTTCAATATTTCAAGTCATCTGAATGTTAAACAGTCAGTATCTGTCCATATCAACAAAAGTATAATGACCCATTACCAGTATAACAGTGGCAGTTATTATATACATATCATTCGGTAAGCATGCTGAAACATAACTTTTATCAGGAGAAAGCATTTTACCATATGTCAACACCAAACTTATACCCAAATGATAAAAGTAGTGGCTGCGCTAAAACACAAACCGAGACACCTTTTTACGCAATGACAATTTAAAGGCAAGGAAATGCCTTCTTCAATATTTCAAGTCATCTGAATGTTAAACAGTCAGTATCTGTCCATATCAACAAAAGTATAATGACCCATTACCAGTATAACAGTGGCAGTTATTATATACATATCATTTTGTACCCATGCTGAAACATATCACTTTTATCAGGAGAAAGCATTTTACCATATGTTAACACCAAACTTATATCCAAATGATAAAAGTAGTGGCCGCACTAAAACACAAACCGAGACACTTTTTTACGCGATGAGAAATTAAAAAAAGGACATGCCTTCTTCAATATTTGAAGTCATCTGAATGTAAAACAGTCAATATCTGTCCATATCAACAAAAGTATAATGACCCATTACCAGTATAACAATGGCAGTTATTATATACATAACATTTTGTAAGCATTTGTTTTGAAACATATAACTGTTACTTTGATAAAGTATTTTATCATGTTAACACCAAATTATACCCAAATGATAAAAGTAGTGGCCACATAAAAACATAACGCAGACACTTTTTTACACAACAAATTAAGGGAAAGGAAATGAATTTTCAATATTTCAAGTCAATTATAATGATAAAGAATCTTACCATATGTTAACACTAATTTGATATCCACATTAATAATAAGGACCACTTAAAATACAACCCAGACATTTTTTATTTACATAGATGCATAGAAATGAATTTTTCGTTACTATTACTTTTCAAGTGATCTCAAGGTTAAACAGACAGCATACATGAGTAGAAAAAAAATAATAAGGAATTCACAATAATGTGTAACAGTAACTGTTAGATGCGAAAATATTTTTTCAACAGAAATAAATCTGAACTAACATCACTAGGCTTTGCAATTAATTTTTTGTGTCTTGTTACATGCATTAAAGTTACTAAACTTACTAGTCTATGAAATACAGCATCATTTGAATTAAAACCTACATTTTTTAAATGTTTAATTGCTAAACACCCATTATATTTTTATTTATGCTTTTTAAAGTTTTCAATTTGCGCTCTTTTGCAATGCTTTTCTGGTTTAGTGTATCATTCTTTAATTTGCAATAATTATTTAAAAATGTGTTCGTTGATGACCAAAGAATCTGCTTTAACACTTTCTGTGACTCATGAGCTTTAGGGCAATCATCTAGATTTAAAAAAATGTCATTTTCTATCAGTATGTCTAGAGTTAAGTTACATGCTATATCCCTCTGATTTGCAGAAAATAAAAATTCATTCTCAAATTCTTCAGATACAAGTTTTTGAATAACAACATAATTATATATTACTGAATTTAGTACATCAGGATGAGGATATAGAAGTCCTCTATCAAATCTTTTTATCCAAGACTGTCCTTCATTTTCTACAATTAATTCTTTATCAATAGTTAGATTGCCTTTACAAATATCACAGCTTAATAGTTTCACAACTTTATAACTACAGTAACCAGCTATATACATTAAAATTGGTATGTCATTTTGAACATTTTGTATATCTTCATTTGTAATAGTTATTCTTCCTGAGAAAGTGCATCCAATATTTTCTTGCTCCAGAGATTCAATACACAGGTTTTTACAATTTAGATAAATAGGAATTCCTCCATACTTTGATGATTTAATAACAGTTGGCAGAAGACTTTGTAATCTTAATTTTGCTTCAGTTTCATATACTTGCCTTATAGAAATATTATGTTGTGAACCAGCCAGCTGTCTATATTTTCCGAATCTATTCTCCTAGGAGATCTGTCTGAACTTTTCCTGGTAAAAAGTAAGTAAATTTTAGCTCTCTCAATGCAATACCTTTGCCATTTCGAGCAACGAATAGCTAGTATGTGTTAATGCAAAATGTGTTTTCCTTAAGTTAGTCCACCACTAGAACAGCCTAAAAGTTTCCACTGATCTAACCACTCAAGTAACTTATTTAAATAAATATATCTAACATCATCATTTTGCACAGTTAACGGCTTTTGATACTCATTCATCTTATGGTGTCCTTTAAAGATACTTTTGACATTGACTATTGACCATCATGTAGAGATAATTTTAATAAACTCAGCAGTTGTTTCATAATTTAAAATATTATTTTCTTCATCAATAACCATTATTGCCTCTGCAAGATGACTGTCAAATATTTGTAATGCAAGCTTGACATTTTATCTTTCCAAACTGGTTGGATATAGTGCTTTTAGAGTCAGATCATAACTATGTATTATAATTCTGCCCACCTTTAAAGAAAGGATATTTTTTAATGCATGCAAATGCCATTGTTTCAACCTTTGGAAAAATTTTCAAAATTTGGATAAATAAACATTGCCCAGAATTTTTTGATTTATCCAGTTGTTCCTGACGACACACTTCAAGATGTGCACTGAGTCAATAACAAAAATAGTGGCCCGAGATAAGTCTGCAGGGTTTTTATACACAATACTAATTTTTGGAGGCATACAAAATAATGACATGGCTTTTTTTTATTTATTGAATTATTGTCAGAGACAACTGCCACAATTCTATAACCTATATTTTCTAAACCAATTATAATTTTTCTTAAGATATTGATACAGATCCTCAGCATTTAATGATTTAACTGGTAATATATGTGCCACATCCTTGAAAGGTGATAATAAGCTACGTATCATAAAAACATAAGCACTTGTAGCAGCTTTTTCACAGTTGTAGGCCATGCCAACACAACATTTCCTCCTTTAAAATCGAAACATGAATTTAAATGCACTTCATCCATCATAATAATTACAGTTTTATCATTTTCTTTTCTTCTAAATCCTTGCATCTTTGTTTAACATATCCTAAAAAGTCATCATTAAATTGTTCCTTGCTATTCTAAAGAATAAATAATTATACCTATCCTAAATCCTATAGGATAAATAAAGAATTAGAAACAAAATTGAACAAATTCTACGAATAGTACGTGGATGGGGAATAGAAATGTAACCTGAATGTCGTAAAAACTTGTATGCATGCGGTGAGATCGAGTTTAACAAACTGCAAAAAATAAGTAAATCTGGAGTATATCGATACTTCTCTTTCTTTACATTTAGTTTATTTACTTGCTCTGAAAGGAAGTTTCAGTTCAGTTTCTTTTTCAGGTAAACTAACTCTTTTCAATTCTGAAAGCATATCATCCACAATTTGTATAGAATTCTTAATATATTCTTCATTTTGTAAGTTATGAGACAGACTTTCAACTTCCTTTAGTACTTCTAGAAACATATTTACATTACTAATTTTTAGAGGGAAAACAAATTTACCAATAGATTTTATAGCGATGTTTTTAATATAAACACATACTGTTAAATCCTCATTTATTACTACCGATTTCTGAATTTCTGGAGCTGGGTCACTTAAAATATCAAGTAACATAGTTGAATTTTCAGTATGTACAGTTGTCCAAAATGTTTCTAAAATCTGATGTTCTAGGCAATTATTGAATTCAATTAAACTTTCAAATGATCGTTCATTATCATACCGTTCTTTCATTTTCAAACTTTCTTCTATCGCTTTTCTCCAGGTATTTCTCTTCTAAACGAGCTTTCTTTCTTCTTTCTTCTTTTCTGGTGACATTCTCGATACAGAATTTGATGACATGTAGGATGGGCCATCAGGGAACTGAGAAGGTATGCATCCTTTTTTCAAACGTGGCCTAGAAATTGGGGCTTTAATTAACTTCGCTGATTTCTCATCATACATTTCGATTTCTCGTATTATTTCATCTGATCGAAAATGTAATTCACATACCTATAAAAGAAAATATTCAAAAATCAACTTGTTGTGAGTACAAAAGTTAGATGCATGTTAATATTTAGTAACAGAAGTCAATAAGCCCTATGATTTAAATAAATAATTTGATACATAAATACGAATTTAAAAAACCAGTAATATCATTTCAATTACGTGTATAATTTAAGTAATTTGTAAAATCTGGAATGCTCATCATAATGATTACAGCTTTATTTACATTTAAAGAAAATTATATATTTGAGATAATTGTTTACAACAAACACTGGTTACCAAATACAAATAATTACCTTGAATACATCATACCAAACTTTCATATATCATTACAAAAATTTTAAAATGAAACCTATTATGATTACTTAGTAGTTCCTTGTCATATAAATTATGATAAATTTGGAATAACTACAGAATCTGCCTGCACAGTATACTAGAAAGCATTTACAAATTATTGGCATTTATGTAACTACTAAATTTAGAATTATTCCTGTTATATGGAACTTTATTTCATTCATAAAACTTTGAAGGAAAATATTTTTTTGAAATGATTAAAACAGGCAAGATTAAAATCTTTCAAACATAAAACTTCTTACCCACAGATCAAAATCTAATATCGTAAGCATAAACATCACATACCTATCAATAAAAGTAATAAAAAATGTAAAGATACAAACATAAAAAATGCAGTAAAATTGAACTTACTCTGGTATGTTTAGTAGGTTGAAAGCCATCTTTTCTTCGTAGACTCCTTATCCATTTCATCCGGAGTTCAGTCTCATTTGGAAACTTGAATACAGCCACTTTTGGTCCGTTTTTATAATTACCACGACATGTGGCTACAGCACATTTATGAGGCATCGTATGAAATTATAAAAGCACGAGACAATATATAAAAAAAGCACGAGACAATATAAAAACTCTGTCGCTAACGCAAATAACCGCTCCACGTTTGTCGCTCTTGGCTCAACTACGGGGCTTTGATTTTGTTTGAAGGAGCGAGGTGAGTCAGAGACGACTACCTGTGACGTCAGAGCTTCCCCTCGCTTCAGTGTCCCGGCTTCCTTCTATAAGGAGGTGTTGTCACACTACCCTGTATCCCTTCCTTACAAAGCTATCCAATGGTGACCGTGATAATCACCATCCGCCATTGCTCTCCATGCTCTCAATAACGACGGCGAAAGGGACACACGCTGATTTAATACCGTTCCCGCATGCGGCCAGCTCCATCTATGCATTCTGGGTAACTCAAGCTCCCCTGTGTCTATTTCACTCGTTTTCTCTTCGCATAGTGTAATAGTTTCGTCGTAAGATTCGTCAATCATTTCTGTACGATCCATGTAGAACCATGTTCTTCCTCAATGCTACATTAGAGGAAGAAGGTTAAAGATTAAGTATATAGATTTCAATTCACGTTATAAGATTATAAAAATGTACAGGAATTTAAAAGTACGTGTTTTGACGACTTTTTGACATACAGTCTGAACAATAAAAAACAGGAGGGGGCATTTCTATATCTCCCGTTTTACTGGGCCGATTCACAAAGTTTAACATGCGTTTTTCATATCTCGAAAGCGCGACTAAGGATATACATTAGAATTATATGCATATAGTATATACAGCATTGTTCTAACACAGGTGTTTTAATACAAAATCTAAACTTTTCTCAAACGACAAACCAACTTTTTCCGTATTTCTATTCTACGACTCAAATTATGTCTAAATATTAAATTTCGTAATATTTGGTGAAAAACTGATAAATTAAAAAAATTTATCTTTTTTGCACTTTTCCACTTTGCGCCAAGAATAATTCACTTGGCGAGATTCTTAATTTGTGGTATCCTATTTTCCTTACCCTTTCATTGTCCACAATGAGGGTAAAAAGCTCAGCGTTCATTCTTTCAAATAATATTAACAAAATGAGTAAAGAGTGTTAACCACTTGGTGTTGTTATTGCTTCAAATATGCCAAATTTCAAAATGCTCCAACATATAAATTCGCGTAGATTTGGGGAAATGTTGAATAAAAAACCTCTAATTTTTGCAGGTATGCTCCGAAATATGTTACCCTTAAAATGGTGGTAAAAAATGTAAAGATTATAATTGCAAAATCTGTCGAAAAATTTACTACAAATTACTCTGAAATACAAATTTTAAAAATAAATAAAACAATATCTGCGAATTTTATTTGGATTGAACCTAAATTTCGAATTCTGTAAAAAGGAGTAAATTCTGTAAAAAGAAATTTTAATAATAAAAAAGTTTTAATAAATATATATATATACCAAATTCAATTAATATAGAGAAGCTAAAATTTTGAGAGCTACTTTTTTTTTAAAAAAACCGCTAGCGTGATTTTTATAAAACTTCGTACTTTGGCGTAATTTGTGTCTTAAAATCATAAAATGGAAAGTAAAACCCCTCTTTTATGTCAAAATAACTATGTTAAAACAATGCTGTATAGATAGATAGATAGGGAGATATATATAGATATAGCTAGCTTTTTTCTTGACGTCTGTATGCGTGTATGTATATCGCATAAATCAAGAACGAGCATTCGTAGGACGTTGAATTTTGTATATGGGACTGCTATAAAATGTAATTGGGCACCTCACTTTTTCGTTGCAATCGGTCCATTAATCATATAAAAATACACACACACACCACATATATATTATATATATTGTATATATTTCCACTCTGTTACCTGTCTCGGCAAGTTTATTTTTTTATTCTTATATATGTTGGTAAATGATGCATTTTATGCTTTGAAAGTGATTAAATTATGTGGTTTTTGTGTTCCGATTAAGGTTTTTATGCCTTTAGTTAATCTGCTTAATTAATTATCCACAATTTAAAAAGTTTAATTGGCGAATTAAGCCTAACAAACCGCCATTTGTTTACATTTGAAACTCAGTGGAATAGTGAATTAAATCAGCTTACGCCTGTTTTTTCCGAATGGTATCAAGCGGCCGTGCGGTAAAATCGCTGAACACTGGTAGTTTGGTCCGAGGTTCGAATCCCGCGAACGGGCTGGCTGCATGGGCGTTTTCGTGGTTTTCCCCATGTGTAACGTGTATACGAGCCAGTTTCCCTTAGAAAGTCCTCCACGAAGGCATCCCTCCTCTTAGGCAGATAGCCCTCGAGGCTTTGCCGTAATTAAATAACCTAACCTAACCTAACCGAATGGTATCAAATGTAAACTTTCAGCTTTGTGCATCGAAAAATCTGCCTTCTCGGCTGCTGGCCGAATTGCTTGCTTTTACGTTGAAACTCTAATTTTAATTGAAGAATTTGTTTTTTAACTGTTTTAATTGTGTTTAATATTTTATGTTTTTCTGTATTTTACAATTTTTAATGAAGATGTTTTGAGTTTTTGTGCATTTTTGCTTTGCCGCGAATTGAGAACTGAATTAATTAAATGAGAATTATATCTCTAATGAAATTCGAGGAAAAAAGTGTCAATGAAATGTATAAAAATGTGTATAATTTAATAAGCCATACAAGGAAGTCATGTGGTTTCCATATAAGTATTTTTATTGGTTAATTAATAGTCTGGTTTCTCATTGTGGTAACATAGGAATGATTGCCTATCGTATTGTCTCTTTGTATTTTTTCTTGGTGTGTTATCATAGATTTTTACTAATTTATTTATTTTATTATGCAGTGTATCTGTAACTTTATTACATTTGGCACAGTTTTTCATAAGTCTGATTGCAAATTTTGGTATGATTTTTGTGATTTCATTGCAAAGGAAAAGTTTGTTGAGTTTTTATTTAATTTTTTGGCAGCATGTATTCGATGTCAAGAACACTGTGCATTAAATGTCATCCAATAACAATCAGTAATGCGGCCAAATGAGTTAGTATAATGACCACGTATACAGCGGGCATTCGATATCGTATTTCTTAAGAGAAAATATGCGTAAGAAAGTGATCGCATCGTGTTATAGAGTGTTCCGTAAATGTTGCGACAAACTTCTGGGGGGGAGGTAGGGCACGTCATAAGGATTAAAAATTGCGCAGGAACCCATGGCTCAGAGACGACATTGTACTCCGAGTGTTACTGTATAGGAGAGTGCTAGTGGAAAGTGAGGATTGCCTCATTTGGTGCGGTAGGCACATATGAAGAACATGGAACTCTATACGAACGGAAAGCTTGCAGACATGCACTTAGTATATGGAATACCTGAGAGTAATGGACCAGCCGCTGCAGTACGCTTCCCGATAAGGCGTCAACCATACCACAGTTTGTTTGTACGTCTGCATCAAAATTTGTGCGACTACAGGTCATTAAGAAGTTACTGATGGTGCAAACTTCGAACATCAGATGTAACATTCAAGTTATCGTACACCATTTGTATTCAGGTCCAATAAATGTTTCAAATTAATCACTCTATTGTTTCCTTTTCCATTTCCTACCTCTTACACCTGACATTTCCGGGCATGTGTTCCTATACAATTCTTAATTCTTATGATGTGCCCTACCTCCACCAAAAGTTTGTCGCAACATTTACAGGACCCTGTATAAAAGCTACACACTTACAAGAAATCACTTCTTCACTTTCTAAGAGACGAAATATAAATAACCTGAATAACTGATTTGCTTGATGGCATTTTTGTGTTAAGTTGCCACAATATGTTGCTATAAAGGATATGAAAAGTGATCCCCTATCGCTGATATGCAGAACACTGAAGTCTACAATTTCCACTTAGAGCAAAATATATATTTTTTGTTTTAATTTCCACTGGGGTCTTGTCCGAGAGTATGAAGCAGATGTTGACTTGGACGTCTAGAGCGGATTGAGGAGGAATACACTCCTCGAAAACCTGGACGAATATTTCAAGCTGATAATTTCCTGTATTGGTACATGGCTTGCAGGAGGAATCGCGTTTTCATTTCCATGATCTATTAGAAGCTTAATAGCTGTTATTTAAGCTTGGAAAATATTTTATGCAGTTTGAGGTGAGTTTTACAGGTATTGAGTAACTGCGGCATTACGTAAAATATATATACATTACTACTGTATCATTACAATACAGTAGGACCACTTCACTCAGTATTTATTCAAAATTTTCTCGTTTCTAAGCATTAGCATCTTCAAAATATTTCGTGAAAATGATTTAATAAAAATTGAAAAATTACTAATAAAGCTCTGTTAGTTGTTGCAATAATATTTTTGTAATATCTGAATATTCGGTGATGCTCATGTAGTTAAGACACAATAACACGCCGAATAAATACTAATTCAGAAGTCAAACAACAAAAATCAGCGTTATATTTTCAAAATTTTCACAGGACTAGTTTCGATGGTTTTACCGAACCACCATCCTCAGCTGCAAAACCACAACACTGATTTTTGATGTTTGACTTCTGAATTAGATGCTCATATAGTTATAACATGAAATTCATAAAAGTTTATAATCTTTACTTATGTATACAGAAAATATATAAACTTTATTTTATTTAAGGTTATTCATACTTAACGATAAAACTGATTGACACTACGAATTCCTCTTCTCTCGCATTTAACCGTAACTGCTTTGAAACTAGAAACTTAAAGAGTGAAACTAAATCTTTATTTCATGAATGTTGGCGATTCGAGATGGCGTAGGGAATTTCACTTTTACTTTTACTGCAACTTAACATAAAATATAAACTATGAGTTTTAAACGCTAATGTGCATCTAACCCTTTAATGATCAAGGCCATTGATTACGGGAACTGGCCTCTGTTAAACAGTTTAACTTCAGTATCTGATTTAAAAATCTTTTCACGAGACGTATCTCTTGAAGTTAATTGAATTAAATTGGCAAGCAGCGTGATTAAGTTTAAGTATCAGATTTTTAGTTTTACCCTAAACTTGTAGGAGTCTGACTATTGTTAGGATAATCCAATTTAAATTTTACTAATCCAATTAGAAATTTTACTAATGTTTTTGCCGCCAACCAAGGTAATGGTTTACGAAACTGTC